GGGGTAAGGAGAGTTTCCAGGAACATCTGGTGGGAGCCCAGACCACGTTGGAATGGCTTGCCCCGTGTGCCTTCGATCCTCGGTGCCCGAGGGCACTGCCCCCCCCCCCCCGCCCCTGGTGTTTGCTTATGTGCTGCCCCTTCATCCCCCCCTTCCAAAATCATACCAGGGTTTCGGGCGGAGAGGGGGACAGGGATCTCTGCCCTCGGTGATGAGACTGTGATCCACTGGCAGAGGCCCCTGTGCCTGTGCTGACCCCACTGTCATCTGAGAGGGCACCTCCCAGATACCCACCCCACCAAACGGCGGCCCTGTGACCTACTGCAGAGCCTACACCCCCTCCCTATCTCTGTCACCTCCTACACCCCCTCCAGCCCCCCTACACCCCCTCCCTATCTCTGTCACCTCCTACACCCCCTCCAGCCCCCTACACCCCCTCCCTATCTCTGTCATCCCCCTCCCTATCCTCTGTCACCCTCTCCAACCCCCTACACCCCCTCGCTATCTCCCACACCCCCTCCAGCCCCCTACACCCCCTCCCTATCTCTGTCACCTCCTCTGGTCTGTTCCCGCTCCCTCCCCCACCCTCAGTGAGTGACCGGCCTTGCCCTGTGGGTGTTGGTTGTGTGTGTGCACTGTGCTCTGTGTAATTTGGTTGCGAGCTTGGCCTGGTGTATTTTCCAGGAGCTCGCTGTCTGTCGTTCTGTCTCCAGCTCCAGGCTGACACCACTCCCCCGTTCCTTTTACAGACAAGTGAAGAAATCGACATTAAATCCAAACGCAAAAGAATTTAACCCCACCAAGTCCCTGGCCCCTGTGGTAAGTACAGTCTGCTCCATCGCTTCACTCTCACAGTCTTGTCTTAGAGCTATTTTTCGAGGGATTTGTGGGAATGGGATTCTCTGTCATTAGCAATCCTCTCAGTATGTCCCCCAAAAATCTATCCATCTCCCAGCCTCCCACACTCTCCCCGTGTCCTTCAGTGTCATCCCTCAAAAATCTATCTGTCTCCCAGTCTCCCGTGTCCCTCAGTGTCTCCCCTCCCCCAAAAATCTATCCATCTCCCAGTCTCCCGCACTCTCCCCG